TAAGCAACCAAAATTGAAGTTGATGATAACAAACACATCTGCTGCATGCTCCAAATAATGATAACAAACCGTGTTTTTTTTTTTGCAAAATTCGGATTACATGAAATAAAACCATATGTTGCCGTCCAGTGTAAAACATCAATATTTATTTTTAACCTGAGGTCTTTTACGTATTGGTTTATAAATATTATATCATTTGGATTTTTCTGCTATTATTGAATATTCTATCGTATAAAATATACGAACACAACCTAACTTATTCTCGGTGCACTTGACACGCAGTCTAAGAATACTTGGACAGTCGTGACTAAAGGACTATCAGAGAAAGATGGGAAAGACATTTGACGGAATTCATGATGTTATTTAGTGAGAGAAATTTGCCTATTTACGTGGAACAAATATAACAAATTTATTTTAATAGCTAGTCGTGCATGGCTTAATGTCTTTAACCAAATAGCTTCAACTTAATTTTTGTAAGCAAATTTCAGTCGAATAAATAAAAATTATCAAATTGAAAACTGTACAGAAGTGGTTACTCTTGGAGTCAACAGAGTATTACAATTTATGGTCATAATCAAAAAAAATCGTTTTAGTGATTTTTTTTCATAAAATGAATATGAAAACTATTAGTACCGAGTCCCGAGTCTAATATTGTATAATTAATACAAATTTAGAATATATCTGCAACAAATTGGAAAATTTTCTCTGATTTTTAAATAATTTATTACATTATTGGTTTTAATTCCAAATAAATTCTAAAAAGGTTTTTGTACAAAAAGATACATTAGATAAAAATATTTTTCTCCAATGAAATACTGTAAGTTTTACTTGAATAGTTAAAATTTATTTCAATATAAATCAAATGATACCAAAGTGAATTTTATACGTCCTTTGAATTTATAATTTATTTTTAATTAATTTAGAAGCTGATTAAATTTACAAATTAAATCCAATAACTTAAAAAACGTACTGATAAATCTGAATCAAAACCACTAAGACAATATTTAAATATTCAGCAAAACTGTTTCAGCAAATATCATTAAAAAAAATGGTATTGTAAAAAAAACAGAATTATTTTATGGATATATTACGAAGAAAAAGCTTGATCACATAAAACCACTGTAGACTTAGAACAGTTGATGCCTTTAGAATAATTTTGGAATTTTTAGAGCTGGCTAGAAAAAAAAAGTTTGACTAATTTTCTCCAAATCTAATCAACATTATTCACCACTGGAAACTTGAATTTTTATAATTGTTCTAAGATATTTTGTGATAATCCTTTTAGTAATTAAAAGGTTTGATTGGGTTTTATAATGCCAAATTCTATAAAATTTTTAAAACTTTAATGAAACGTTTTTACGTTATGGAAATTAGCAAGACTTGTTTTCTCCTCGACAAGACAAAAGTCCTTTCTTATATGAAGAACTTGATACAAATAAATTAACATCATTATTATGAATAATGTGCTTCTCTTATATGGACACTGACCTTGTTACATATGGTATCGATGAACTTTGGACATATATGGATATTCATTAAGTGCATCTTGCTTCTGATGGGTTGAAATTGTAGTCCATTTTTGGATTGAAAATTGTTAATCTTGGATGCATCAATATTTAGATTTTAATAATAACTATTAAAAATGATTCACTCTATTTATAACTGTACTGCAATGATAATAATTATTTAATAATACCAAAGTGTGTTTAGTTAATAATACCAAAGTGTGTTTTAGCCCTGGATGTCTGTTTCCGACATCGTTTTCTGATTCCGCAACCTCAATTGCGATTTGTCGTAAATCAGTTTGTTGATATAATAAATTAAACTAATAAATCCTGAATTTACCCTGTGTAAATCGATACTGGAAATCTTCAGGAAGATCTCACACGTTGACTAATTGATTACGAAGAACTATACCCAAGCGCGATAACTATGAAAGTAATAGATGAGATTTTATAGAGTTGTGTGCTATTTCATTTTTGGAATAATTATCAGATGTTTGATTATTTATTTTCAATTCTTTTTATTAATTATATTTAATTTCAATCTAATATGATAAAAAATAGAAAATTCTTAAATTTTAATGTTTTATGATGAAACATCATGATCTTTCATCACTGAAACAATAAAAATGGAATAAACATATTTAGTAGATACGTTTCGATACATTCCGAACATATTAATTAGATATTAGAACATTTCTTTTCAAAAATATTTTTAAACTTTCAAGATAGTTTTGGTATGTATTAGAAAATTATATATATTTATCATCTGCAATATTTTTTTATATATAATCTAGAGTTCCGAACCTATTAAAATTCTTAATAAACCATCTTGGTATATTCAAAACTAGTGGTGCATCGTGCTGGATTCTAACATTGGACAAATTCTAATTAAAAAAAATAAAGTTTTTCAAAATTTTAATTACGGCACAGGAAGTTCCAGCACGATGAACCACTAGTTTTGAATATACCAAGATGGTTTATTAAGAATTTTAGCATAGTAGCAAAACCTTTTGCTTTCTTACAAGGTTTAAAAAACTGCTCTAGATTCTTTATATAAATACTCCAATTTTTAATTATTTTTTAAAACAGCTATTAGAACTATCCTAGTATGTGCATATTAATATCTATAGTAATATTGGCGTATATATACGTTATATTTATGCCACGAGAGGCAATTTTCACTTGAATTTAAATTTGCCTTAAAGGAAATGCTATTTTTATTTTCTATAAAATCCAAATTTGCTGTAAGACATTATTATAAATATTAGTAAACTGTAACACATAATCGGCTGTTTCTATATTCGAAAATGTTAAAAGAGATTTATCTTTCCCGATAGTCGTGAAGACTTGTAGAGTATCGCCTGATGTCTTCAGGCAACATCCATAACTGGAACAATAAGTTAATATCGGATATATCGCAAAAGACCTAATGTCATCTATTGTACCGAAAGCGTTTGCATTGATTACACCGATTACACAGTCCAAGTCTCCTATATTATCAACCGATCCGTAATTTCACGTGTTTGGATGATAATACAATAATTTTCTCAGAAAACTTTTTCTTGCTGACATCATGGCCCTAAAATACTTGAACTCGTAGCGTGCCTTGGCAGGACTTCGTATAAAAGGGTATGATAAGGGCGTGTTACCATACAGAATTGGCTCCACCCTGGTATTTAAATAATTTTGATGCCATTTTATAGGTATTTTTGAGAAAATTCGAAATACGAAATTTCAAATCCGTAGCTCATCATTTGGCCAAGATATCAGTGAAAACATGTGAAAGTGGCCCCTTTTTTCAAACTCACTTTTTGCCGGAAATATGAGAAATATCGAAAAACTGTTAACGTCATTCTATTTGTACTGATCTTGTCTATGTTGTTCATAACAATTAATGTGAAAAAATTATTTGTTAGTGCGTAAAAACGTGAAAATGATTTTTTATTTTCCATTTTCTACCAGTGCGGCTTGATAATGAAATCTTACGTTTTTCATACGTTGAAATATATTAGTCAGAACTTATACGGCAAATGAAAATAACCAATAATAATAATTATTGTTTTATTCGGCGCGTTGGATTTTTTATTATGACTAATGAATATACTTATATACAAGATATAAATAAATTTTGGTTTTTCATAAATATTTCCATACTTATACACAGAATTTGTCGGGACGCACGCTAACGACGAGCCTTATGCTTCTTATGCTTGCTCGTCGCTCTTGCAAAGCTACTTTATATGAGTGTTCTTGTACCGGCAACGTACTAGCTTAAGTTTTTCCAACTTTTCTCCCAAAGTTACACTTAGATTTAAATGAATTTTGGAATAATAGAAGAAAAATGTACAAGCTTTCGAATGATACTAATATAAAAATAGGCAAAAAAGCCGCACTGGTAGAAAATGGAAAATGAAAAATCATTTTCACCTTTTCACGCACTAATAAATAATTTCTTCACATTAATTGTTATGAACAACATAGACAAGATCAGCACAAATAGAATGACGTGAACAGTTTTTCGATATCTCTCATATTTCCGACAAAAAGTGAATTTGAAAAAAGGGGGCACTTTTACATGTTTTCACTGATATCTCGGCCAAATGATGAGCTACGGATGTGAATTTTGGTATTTAGAGTTTTCTCGAAAATACCTATAAAATGGCATCAAAATTATTTAAATACCAGGGTGGGGCCAATTCTGTATGGAAACACGACCAGAAATAGACCCTTTCATTGGAAACCCTTGGAGATGATTTTTATGAATCTTTGTATGGCGATAGAGTACTTGCATACATACTAAAATATTATAGTCCTACGAAAAGTAGTTCAATTAAAAAAATAACCCTTTCCACTCACAAATTCCGAGAGTTATATGAATTTTGCCGCCAGAGCGGGAAACGGTTAATTAAAATGCGAATTAATCGGCTGCACTTTTAAAAAATACTCTGTCAGCATTTTTTTATAAAATTTGATAATCTGCGATAGTTTTTCATATTGGGCGGCTGTAAATCAACTCGGAACACTTATAAAATCACTCATAATTTGATATATTGATAAAGTTGTAAGCTCAGAAAGTTTGTGCAACTTGCCTCAAGGCAAAATGCCACTCACTTATTTTAAATGATATTATATCTTACAAGACAAAGCAAATTAGTTGGTTTAAAAAATATTTGATTTGTTCAGCCAATTAAGAGATTTAATTAACTGTTGAAAAGATGATATTAATGATTGCTTCGTGCAAAGATGTATACAGGGTAATATTTTCATGGTATATAATACTATAATATGATATTAAGAAACACCAGCATGTACTAAAATTGTTGTTAGTATATTGTGCAATAAATATAAAAAATAAAATATTAACAATTAAAAATAGATGTATTTATACTTCATACAAACAAAAATTCCATCAATAAAACATTTAGTAAAAATAACGTTAAAAATATTGCATATAAGAAACATTCATATTTATAGTCTTGTATAAAATCAGTCCTTCGTTTTCATCACCAATAAAATTAACAAGCAAATCTCATAATTGAAGTTTAAAATTTATCATGTTTAATACTATGGTAATATTTCTTATTTGGCTTTCACAAAAGAGGTAGCTTTTCCAGTCTTCTTTATAACTTCCAATAACTCATCTGATGATAAGGAAGCTTTTACACAAACTTTTTGATCAGCCATGTTTATTACTACATCTTCAACACCTTTACCTAAAAATATATAAATTCAAATAAAAATCAAATTCTTCAAAAAAAAAAAAGGTTGCTTAGTCCTGCTTCAGTATATGTTTTAAATTTTAAGTATCCGATTGTTTGGAAGTAATTATTATTCGTCCGATCAACAAGATGCTTATATTTTATACATATATATAAAAAATAAACTTTTGCATAAATCAGTCGTATAAGAAATACTTATTAAGAAGTATACTTATTATTAAAAGTATCAGAAAACCGAGCTCATGTCAGAAAAAAATAAACCAATGTGTTGCTTGAATTGATTTACTGAATTTAAATTTACCTGTTTCGATATTGGAAAAGCTCTGAGAAATGAGTAAAGAAAACATATGTTGAATAATAATAATAACCGTTCAAAAACTATCAAATTAATATAAACATTGAAAGTAAAGAAGATATTTTGTTGAATAATTATAATAACCATTTAAAGACTATCAAATTAATATAGTAATAATAATTTACAATCAAAAGTCTTGATAGCCACTTGAACTAATGATTATCAGTAAAATCCGTGTACTTTAAACTCTGTGTAATCTTAATACATAACAATAGATTTTGTTGAATTAATCTAATGAAAATAATTAATAATTGACAAAAAACTTGAATGCATCACAGATATCTTAAAACAATTTCTGGTATACCATCATAACTTTTATCATATTAGACTATTCCATCACATTGCAAAACTACTCAAATATTTGATTATCAAGCAAATTGCACAAATAAAAATAATTGTAATAAATAATAAATAACATAAGTGGTAATACGTAGAATGTATATTACTAACAATTTTTTAAATATGGAATGCATATAAACAGTGCATAGAGATACAGAACCGGCATGATTTTGTAAACAATAATTCAATTACAAATTTTAATTTATGATAAAATTATTTATAATAAATCCGCAATGGCTGGCCATTACAAATATTTCTCCATTCGAGAAAATGAAAGTGTAAAGTATTTATTACTTTTAATTAATAGATTGGAATTTAATTATTACGTTAATCAAAGGATATGACTTTTTATATTCAATTAATGCCTGCTGTTACTAACTGATTAATTTATGAATTGCACGCCACCTTGCTATAAAAAATATATGTACTTTCTATTATTTGAAATGGCATACTTTCAAAATTTTATTGCATTCTAACAATCTAAGTAAGTATAATTCAAGAATCTGAAGAAAATTTCAGACACATTTTAGAAACTAATAGGATATTGAAAAAGGAGTAATTGATTTATTACAAAGAACGATAAATTTAGATGATTTAAATAGAAGGAAAAGAATTAGGGTATGACATATGAACTGAATTTGAATGAAGAATGCATTCATAAAATAACTTGAAGTTTTAGTTCATAAAACAAGTATTCCAAATTACCTTTAAGTTTACCAAGAACTCTTTCAACGGCCCCGGAACACCCTTCACAAGTCATCTCGACATTAAATTCGTATTCTTTAATCTGTAAAATATTGTTTGATTATATTAATAATTTACAACATATTAACAATCATTTACCTCAGGCATTTTAAATGTTTAGTCGGACTTTACTATTTAAATATTTATTTAGGGCAAGCGATAATAACTTATCACAACAAGAATTTACAAACAGCCACTATCTACTGTCAAAGTGACACAAGCTATCTACTGTCAGAATTAAATCGTGGCGTAAACCATAGATATATTCAAAAAGATACACCGGGTTGAATACTTCAGGAAATGATTAAAATTAGTTAACAATAATTTTAACTAAAATAAAAATTATTTGTAAAATATAATTAAAAATTCAAATACTTGGCAAAGTGGTTTTCAATAAATTTATAAAAAAAAAACAAAATATTAAAATCAACTCCTCTTTTATTTTATAGAATTATTTATAACATACATATTTTGTATAAACATGTTTCATAAATTTTTAAAGTGTGCGAACAGAAATATTTTATTGTTCTTTTTTTAAATATAAGAGAAATGAAGTTTTTTTATTATTATTGTACATTATTCATATACATTTTATAAGTTATCTTTACACTTTTATTTTATTTGATTTTATATAATTATATAGTGCACCATATATCCTTTTCTTTGTCAATAATGTTATAAAATTGGCTGAGAGGATAATTTTTTGCCTTACTATCTCCTTCCATAGTTCTTGTCTACCTTTTTCCCATTTTTTGCACTCCGTAATGGCATGCTCAGCATCCGCACTAGTCGCTCCACCCAAGCAATAGCAAATAAAGTTAGTTTGAAATAATTATAAATCATATAATTATTTTTAACATTATTTTTATCATTCATTTACTGCAAGATTTATTATAATCTGATAATATTATAATCAAAAGTGGGTAAAATAAATTACTTAATGTTTTTTTTATTTAAATGAAATTTGAAAAATATTTTTGCCTAGATCGAGTTGCTCAACTACTAAGTAATATTTGAAGAAAAGAAAGAATTGAAAGAAAAATATCAAATAATCTTTTTATATTATATTTATTATTTATTTTATAATCTTTTTAGAATTGAAAGAAAAATATCAAATAAGTTTTTAAATGTATAAAGTTACGTTCAAATACTCTTCTTTTATCTTTAGTTAGTAATGTAATTGATTATTTTATATATTTATTAAATTAACACAAATTATTTATAATGAGAAAAAATATATTAAATATAAATTAACGATTAATCTTAATTGATTGTATTGTTTATTATTAAAAAAAATAACAATCAGAAATAAAATCAGTAAGCGAAGTAAACGTGATATCAATTAACACTTATTTATCTATATCAATTAATATAAAATTTAACAAAATTTAATTGAATTTAAAAAAATAATTATACAGATAAAAGTTAACGCATTATAATGTGAAATATATTTATTTTTGCTTCAGAATAATTTTTAAACATTTATATTTAATTTATTGTTTTTTTTTTAACTTTCCGTAGAAAATTTTTTGCATATCTTAACGTTTTGATGGTTTTTGCTCATTTTGGCATACCTCAGAAAAAATTGATGTGTGTGCGTGTGTGTGTTTTGTATGTCCGCATTTTTTGTTCACGTTTTCGGGCGCACGGATCAATTGGTTCTATTGATAGGGAGATGTGCTGATTAGTTTTTTGCGAAGGCAGGTCCAGCCGTTACGGCGATACGAAGCAAAGAGTGCAGAAAATATAAATCGAGTTTTTGATAAAACGGAGAATGTTTATAAATATTTGTATGTAAGTATGTAATTACTTGTCTATGGGAGTATCCGACTTGGATGATCTAAAAAACATTCAGTTTGTAATGATTGGGAAAAGAGGTGTTCAGTTTTTGGCGAAGGCGGGTCCAGCCATTTCGAGGACACAGAGCTAAATATGCAAAAAATAGCAGTTTTTGAGAGAACTAAGCGTCCGATTTGAATGATTCAAAGAATTATTTGCTTGTTTTAATAAAATAATTGCTTTTGGAAAAAAAATTTGCTTTAATTTTTTTTTCAGATTAAAATCATTCAGATTTTAATTTTAATTCTGACTAAAGATCTAAAGCTCTTTAATACTTAAGTAAATGATTTTAACTTTGTAATTCAGTTTATATAATTTTTACGAATATTAGACAATATTACAGTATTTATAATAATCTAATTGAAAAACCTACAATAATTAATATTAGTAATAGTAGAAACAAAAAATCTTAGTTTCAAAATATTCCGCACGTGGCTCTGATGGTAGCAAATTTTTTACAGTGTACATCTACCATCTTGAAATCCTCTATGCCGATAATTGTCATTGATACTCAGGGTCATTATTTTTTTGACACATGAGTCATCTGCAACTAAATAATTTTTTCTATTTCTTTTACTCTGACTTAAATGTTTCTACAATGAATTTAATCTGTCCAAATCATTGTGATATCCATCATTATTGGCAACAGTGAATTAAATGTTGTCAAGTATTAATTTCCACTGCACTAATGAATACAGAAGAAACTTTATTGAATATAGATTTCGGCAACAAAATAGATGTTGTGACGCAAGTAGATGATAGTGTTTTATCATTGTCCAGTTCAACAGAGGAAATCAATTTAGTTCCCGAAGTGGTTTTTGAGGGCATTGTGGATCCTTCTGCTGATAATAGAGAATCGCAGCCCCTTCTGGGGGCTCGCGATTTAGATGTCTCATATAACCAGTTTCCAGGTACAAATAATTGTGTAGAAGTATTGGCATATGGTTTTTGAATAGATAAACGTTTATAACTGGTTTATTATATGTTCAAAAGGTCTTTGTAACAATTTCAAGTTAAATTTTTGCTTAGAATTTAATTTTTGTATTTGGAAGTATATATGTACATATGGATTTGAAACAATTGTTCTTTTAAATGTCCTATTAGTATCATATTTTACCTACTTTTTTATTTATTAATTAGTAATCATTTGGATGTACGATAAATGCTAGGACCTATCAAATTTTGTCTTGCCGTGATGTAATATAAATTGAAATACATACTGTACTATTGAAATATGTAGTAATAAAACGCATTAAGTATTAAAATAGTAAATGCTATATTATTAGCAGAAATCTTATAATTATATTGTTTTGAATATTGACACTTGTTTTAGAACGACCTTCGAGCTTGGTCCAATGTGAATACAAATACAATTTCTTTTTACCATTTTTGAGTTCCATTTTTATCAGTGTAAAGAATGTTAATAAATTATTTTCTGAATTATTTTCTAAATTGTACATATATTTATAATCTTTTATATTTTGAGTACTTTCTTTAATTAGTTATAAACTAAAAATTGGGTCCAACTTGTATTTCTTTGATATATGAGTGATTTAATTTAGATTTTCTCGTGTAAACAAGAACGAGTAAGATATTTTTATTTCTTGTAATGTGTTTTGAGATTTTCATTAACAAAATTATTTTTATGCATATATAACACTAACATAGATGATGACAAAGCGCATGGTTATAAAATTGTTGCTCTATATCGCTTTTGAATTTCAATGATTGAAATTTAAATCTGCCAATGAGCATAGATTAAGCTGAATCACATGGGGATTTGATATGTAAAGTGTTAGTATTAAATTTTGGTGTGATTCAGACAAATTACATAGTTTTAATAAATTACATAGAGGTTTGGTATTTGTATGGTATAGTTTTAATACTAATCACCGTAATCTATTTGAGTACCATTAAATATTAAATGTTTTTAATATTTCCTTGGTTTTACTATCTCTACATTCCTGTTATAATTCAAAATTTAATACTTTTTTTATTTATTGATATAATATTTTCATATCTCAGTCAGACAGGGGTGTCTGGTATAAGAGTCTATTTTATTATACAATAATATAATATTTATCATAATTAAAATATCTTTAAATATCTATTCAATCTTTTTCTTCTTCAATTTTCTTACAATATTTCTTTATTCTCCTTTTGAAATTATTGTCGTCACTGGTGTTCTTAATATCGATTGGCAGTTCATTATATATTTTACTTGCGCTCCATATTACATTTCCTCTTAATTTCTTTTTTCTATTATGTTCAATGTACTTGACATTTAATTAAAATTCATTTACCTTTTGTTATTATAGTGTAGATTTGGATCAATGTAAAAATTTAGATACTTAGATTGATTAAAACTAAACAATTAAAATATCCAATACTATGTTATAATTAATTTTGTGTTTTTTTTTTTTATAGATGACCCTCAATTCAGTGATCTTGTGTTTCAAGCCGAACTAGCTATTGATAAAGGAATTTATCCTGAACGGATATATCAAGGATCAAGTGGATCATATTTTGTTAAAAATCCCAGTGGGGTATGTGTGTAAAATGCATTTAAATATTAAAGTCTCATAAATGTTGAATATTGTTTAATTGTAATTAACTATCAAGGGTTATTTATGTAAATGTGGTTTGAAATAAGAAATAAGACTAAAAATAATTAAATTATATAAATAGCAAATAGTTTGAAACGCTGGAACATTGTTCAGTAATAGCAAATTAGATATACATGTTTTGTGGTTTAAACTGCATTATGCATGTATTTATACATATACTTGTTAATTTTTTGAAATAACATGAAAATGACTTCATTTATTAATAATTTATAAAATGCAAAGGCTTATGATATTATGTAGATTCTGTATAAATTTGTTTTTACAAGTATGTTCATGTTATATTGCATTAACTGTAGTAAAATTTAAACTATTTGTTTTTATAGTAAAATAATTAAATTAAAAGTATTCAAATATTTTATTCACATTTCATTATGACTTAATTTGCAATTACATGCACATTAATTCCAAAGTGCATCCAAATATTTATATTATATTAATGATTATAGGGAATATATATTAATGATTATAGGGTTTTGATTTGCTTTAATCATTTGCAAAAAAGTTATTGAATAAATTGAAAGGTTTTTTAATTTCGTTTATCAATGTAATGTGTATGCTATCATATGATTGCAAATAATATATTTTTTATTAAAATATATTACTTAATACTGATATACCTAGAAATAATGCTTATGGTTTCATTTACTTATATTTTTAAATGACAAAGCGCATGGTTATAAAATTGTTGCTCTATATCGCTTTTGAATTTCAATGATTGAAATTTGAATCTGCCAATGAGCATAGATTAAGCTGAATCACATGGGGAGTTGATATGTGAAGCGTTAGTATTAAATTTTGGTGTGATTCAGACAAACTACATAGTTTTAATAAATCACATGAACTCTGCTTCTTAAACATTTTCAATAACATACATTTCAGAATCTTTGTTTCTAAATGCCACAAAAAAATATATTTTTATTAAATTTTCAGAAAATTACTGGAGTATTCAAGCCAAAAGATGAGGAACCTTATGGAAGACTGAATCCCAAATGGACAAAATGGATGCATAAACTGTGTTGCCCTTGTTGTTTTGGGCGAGCATGTTTGATCCCAAATCAAGGATATTTATCAGAGGCTGGCGCCAGCTTAGTCGACGCCAAGCTTGGATTAAAAGTGGTGCCAAAGACAAGAGTATGAGTTTTGATTACTATAGCAAAAATTACTATCATATTACTTAACTTTTTTTTATGTAATTCCGTTCTTTATTGTTCTGGAATAAATATTACTATTATAATATTTTTTGTTTGTGAGTATTATAATAAGTATCTTCCTTTGTAGGTTGTGAGGTTAGTATCAGAAACATTTAACTACCCAAGGATAGATCGGCAGAAAACAAGAGTCAAAAAAGCTATTACAGAACAATTTCCTACTATGGGTTTAAGGTTTAATAGAATAGGATTACCACCTAAGGTAAGTTTGTATTTAAATTTATCATAAGTTTGTAACATTTTATTAATCGAAATTAATTTTCAGTCAGGCTCATTCCAAATTTTTGTAGAAGGTTATAAAGATGCAGATTACTGGCTTAGAAGGTTTGAACAAGAACCTCTTCCTGCCAGGTTAGCTAATAAGTTTCAGTTGCAGTTTGAAAAACTTGTTATATTGGATTATATCATAAGGTATGTATATTTGCTAAACTTTCAGTAAATAATATAATAGATATAGTCAGTGTTAGCACTTATGGTCACTTTAGATTGTTTTTAGACTGCAAAGACTGCAATCAATATCACTCAAAGAAATCAAATGTATTGATATTTTATTGCATTAAATGTATTTCTTATTGTTGGGAAGGTCATGTAACTTAAAGGCAAAGGCAAAATGCCAATTACTTCTAGTTTAATATATAGTTATTTATACGGAACCATTTCTACTATTATAAATTTGGTAGATAATATAATTTTAAACATGTCGATTATATATAATGTTAATTAATATTATTATATTATAATTTAATAGAAATACTGATCGTGGCAATGATAACTGGCTTATCAAATATGAGCAGCCTGCTATAGTTAATACTCCTAGTGGGACCAAAACTAGAGTTGAACTCAATGAAGCAACTGTAAGTGATTTAAATATATTATAAAAATAGTGTTTTCAAATTGTTTAAAAAACAACATATTTTTTGAAAAATTATATGCTGAATAATTATCCAAGAAAGTTGTGTGATAGTTTCATTTATTAAGAATTAATTTAGAAAGAATTAATTTAATTAAACATATTAAATATTTAGTATTTTGAGTAAACAAGCATTCTTTATTATGAACTAAATGATTTGAATCAAATTTATGATATGATACCTTTCACACTTTTACATTTTGGCTGCTTTTTTGTGTATTTTTATAATTAAAGCGCTTTAATTATTATCATTTTAATAAATGAGATCTGTCAAAATTCATGAAAATAAATTTTACAATTGAATAGTATTTGAATTTTTCCAATATTCATTATCAATTTTCTAGTAGATCAGAAATCTATAAGTAGCAGCATTTTTTCAATTTCATTATTCATCATACTCTTGAAAAGAAATGACGACTTCTATATTAATGCAGTCATTAATACTCCAAATATCGAATCTTTCATATTTTGAAGCAATTTTTCTCATATCAATACTTTGAAATGCCATTAATTCGTTTCTGCAGAGCAGTTTTTGGTAAGTTGGACTCATTAGACACTAAACTTACTGATGATTTTTATTATATGTGATAGTGTAATAATATATTTTTAGTATACAAGACAAAGACAAAATAATTAATATTTTCAACTTCATTATTTATCATACCATGGAAAAGAAATGCCCACTTCTATTTATATTAATACAGTGGTACTTCGAATATCAAATTTCTCATATTTTGAAGCGATTTTTTTTATATCAATACATTGAAATGCCATAATTTGTTTCAGCAGAGCGATTTTTGTTAATTTTTTTTTGAATATTAATAAAAAATTCACAATTTATTATTTTGAATATTTTTTCTTGTCCCTTCATTATATTGCAAAAAATTTTCATTTTTTGATATGTTTTGTTGAACAACTCCCATGCTCAAACTGTTGCAACTTTTTGGGATGGTTTTGATGCAAACATTTTGGAGCTCAGAAAGATGTTTTTAAATTATTTCAAATATTTAGCTGTAGTTATTCTCTTTATCAGCTTTTTCTGTTTAAACACAGTACATATCTATAATGTGTTATGCTCGTACATCCTTGCCATTCTCATATTTTTCAATCATTTCACTCTTTAATTTACTTTTTATTGTCACTATTTTTGTAAACGTACTTAAAAGCGAAAAATGCGAATTCAACATTACAATAACTATTAATGTACAGTTAAAATTTCTAACATTAAAATAATCCTCGATAAATTCGCGTGGGTAAATCGTTACTACACATAGGAAATTTTTCATATTTTTGTTTTATTAACATTTTTCTAAAAAACTCTTCCTTTTTCAAAGCTTGTGTCTCGAATTTTGCTCGTGTATTGAAGTAACTATTAGCCCTTTTGGCGGCTCGAATGTCAGTTTATTAGTAAATTTGTATGATATATGTAATTTAAATTTATTTATTAAAATAGCATGACATTCATAATTGTTTACTTTTTTATCTCAGGATTGGAATTTAGTGCAGTTGCCTGAAATTTCAATAGCGGCCATCGACAATGGCCTGGCATTCCCTTTCAAACATCCAGACAGCTGGAGAGCGTATCCATATCACTGGGCTTGGCTGCCCCAAGCAAAGGTGCCTTTCAGCCAAGATACTAGAGATAGAGTTCTACCTCTGCTTAGTGATATGAACTTTGTACAAGAATTATGTGATGAACTATATATTTTGTTTAAGGTAAGTTCTTGGAATCAAATTATTCAAATAATTCAAACTAAGTCTATAATTGTCTGAATAGAATCAGTTGGTTGTATACAACTTGCATCAAGTCTATCGCGAGTTGAGCGTTTTCTAAATCAAATCAAACTGAAACGAATTATGCAACTTGTAGTTCCAATCAATAGATAGTTACTAAATTGTTATTTAACAGGCTAAAATATTATAATTATTTTTTAACTTAATATTTGTTTTTAACATGATTATTAATTTAATGATTCAGAATCTATTTTTTTTTTTTGTGAATCGGATTACTATAATTATACTACTTGTAGCATGGCTTTTAAATATTATGAGGGGCCATTCAAGTATTACGTAAGCACTATAGGGGGGCGGGAGGGTTATTGATTTCTTATTTTGGGTGACATTTTGGTGACAGCTTTGCTTATTTTTGCTGACAAAGGGGGATGGGGGGGGGGTAAATAATTGTACTAAATCTGCTTATGTAATACTTGAATGATCCCTAAAACAAACAAATTTATGAAATTTTTAATGAAAAAATTATTAATTACTATAACTTACCCTGCGCGATGTCCGTTTTAACTTGAAAATATATACCAAAAATATGTTTCCAATTGAAAATAAGCTCATCCTGCGCACTGCGATGTGAAATGGGAATGGAAACCATTTCTTTCCTGAATCGAGTTGGAGTTTTACTCTGCTCACGAATCTGCCTCAGGGCATTACCACCCATTAATATTATTATAACTCACCCTAAAGAAAGTTGAAAACTGGAGGCCAGTAAATGAAAAAAATAGTAATTCCAAAATTTCTGGAAAAATACTATTAAAAATATATGAGACTGACAATGGAAATTAATGTATTAAAATCAGTTAGCATATGATATTGAAGGAGTTAGCTGATAATTTTTGTTTAAATACAATTGATTTTAGTATATTTGATATTAGAACAATATTTAGTATTTTTATTATTTTGATTATTAGCAATATGTATTTGTTTTTAAATTTCTAAATGACTTATTTCATTCCGTACATTTTAATTTGTATGCATTAGTAAAAGCTAGAAAAATTTGATTAAATCTAGTGAAATTGCCGAATATTTACATAATGAAATTTTATACAAAAATTGTTGAAACATTTTTCTGATAATTTTCCCTAGACACTTTGTTTAATATACATTTACAAAAATTTAGTAAAAACTTTTATATACGCTTGAAATTCTAAATAATTTGTTGTTGAAATGCGGATTTCAGAATTTTGATAATTTACATTACATGTATATTAAAACATTTTTTACTTTTTCTCAACTATTTGCGTATTCAACATTATGATTTTTTACATGAATAAAAACTACATAAAATTTACTTAAATCTAATAAAAACTGTTATATACTCTTGGATATTGAAATTTTGAATGATTAGTAGATTGAAAAGTAAATTTTTGTGTTATGTTAATTTACAATATGTGGATTTAGAACATTTTTTACTTTTTTCCAAATTTTAAATAACTTAATTTTCATTTCGTACATTACATTTTTTTACATTAATAAAAACTAGACAAAATCTAATAAAAACTAATATTTACACTTAAATATCGTAATTGTAAATAAAATAATGAATTTTGATAGCATTAAAGTTGCACTTTTATGTTTAGACTCTTAAATTAGATTTCTTAAATTTTTATCCTTGTCTACCAACGATTTCCCAACATTTTAGCTAGTTTTTAATATCCAATATTACTTTTAGAACAATAGTTTGCTTATTAAGGGTGGTTATAGAATTTTATTTATCAATTTGAAGTGGTTGATAAACACGAATCATTGCCAATTACTGTTTCTATGGTTTTAAGTGTAAATAATAGTTTTTATAAAAGTTTAGGAAATTTTATCCAGTTTTTACCATTGTAAACAAATTATAAAGTGCCAAATGAAAATCAAGTTATTTGAGAAAGATGAAAAATGTTATAAATCTTTTCTTAATTTCAATAATCATTTTTAATTTAGTAGAGTTAATTTTTATACCACATTCATTTTTTGCATTACCATATAAACATTACTAATATTTCTAAAACTTGCTAAGTTTTTTGTTAGTTTAATTTTGTTTGTTTTTTATGCATTATAGCAAGATAAAGGATTTGATAAAAGCCTATTTGAGAAACAAATGTCCGTGATGCGAGGACAAATATTGAACTTAACACAAGCACTACGTGATGGTAAGAGTCCAGTGCAGTTGGTTCAAATGCCTGCAGTCATTGTAGAAAGGTAAAATTAAAAATCAATTCAATGATTATAAAAAAAAATATGAACCATAAATTAAATGACCAATTATTTTTCATTTAGATCAAAAGGTAATGCAGCATCATCAAGATTTTTCTCATTTAGTGACACCTTTACTCAGCGCTTCCAAAACAAGAGCCCATTCTTTTCATGGTGTTAAGTAGCCTCGATATCAAATAATTAAACTGTTAAATTATAAATATTAATGTTCCACCTGTGTATATATGTGATAAGTAATGTAGAATAGATTTTGAGGGGCCATAATCTAAAAGGCAGAATTTATATCTTTAAAATGAATTTCACATGAAATTAAGCCTACGACTATGACATAGGAATTTTAATATTTAGTTTTATTGCATTGTTATTTATATTTTGTAGGTATTATTATGTGTTGAATTTGTGAAACATTTTAAGCTTTTATATCGTAAATATATTTTCATATAATTCTTAGCCAATATAGATGAATAATTGTGAATAGAAACCTTTTATATGTACATAATATATAAAATATAGGATTAGACTTGGGTATTGATGCATCATCTCATTAGGCACTAAACTTACAGATGATTTTTATTATATATGATAGTGTAATAATATATTTTTAGTATACAACACGAAGACAAAATAATTAATATTGTAATATTTTAAAGTTATAAATCTGTATTTGTAACTTACAGCCCTGAAAAGTCTATCTACTAACTGCACTTTTTAGTCGGAGCTTGAGTCACATAATTAATTTCTTCTATCCCTCTACCTAAGTGCTAATCCCTATTTCATAGACTACTGTATTTCTATGAATTTTAATTTATATAAAATGTACCTCATTTATTTTTGTGAAAAAATATAGATATGATTAGGTAAATTTTGTTTTGTTAAAATAAATTATTTAGTGAATATCGTAACCTTTTACAAAACGTTTTGAATGACTAAACGTTTTGAGTAACAACAATGGGAAAAGGACGTTATTATTCCTGTTGGAACTAGAGGCAATATAATAATATTTGCACCAAGCTACTGTGACACATTAATTATCTATTTTTAATTGATTTTAATAAACATTAAACAGTTCAGTTATTATTGTGAATATAAATATGCTAAAACACTGCAAATATAACAAAAGCAGAGGTTCGTTTGGTTTTGATGCAGAATAAAATAAGTTTATAATTATATATTTCTCATTAATTAAAAAAAATAAGTTTGTCATGATGACCAGTAACAGCAGTAACAGATTGATAGGAATATTTTTTCAATTATTTTATGTGTATTTAGATAAAATTCATATTTAAGTTCCCATAGGATAAGTTATAGTAATCGCAAAAAAATGTAAAATGAAAATTTTTGTGTATCTTTTTATTTCAAAGGTTTCTGATCATGTTGGCATAACTTAGAAAAAATTGATGGATGTATGCTTGTGTGTTGCGGATACAAATTTTTGTCGACGATTTTGTGAACACGGATCAACCGGATTGATTAATTCAAGAAACATTCAATTCGTATTGATGAAAAAGTGCAGAAGTGCAGATTAGTTTTTGTCAGAGGCAGTTCCGGTCGTTTCAAAGATACGGGACAAGAAGTGCCAACTGCCAACTCTCAATTTGGCAGCCATAGATAAATAAGCATGGCAGCCTGGCAGCCATCTTTTTTGAGTACTTGACATTTTATAAATTCACTTCTGGTAATACCAATCAAAAATTTGGCATGGACATATTTTTAACAGTTACTTTTCGATATAAGCTCTTGCGAACAACATCAAATTGTTAATATAACTTTAATTTCTTTTTTCTATTTTTATTGAACTGTTAAAATGGCGGAACCTATTTGGAAAAAACGCCAAGGACGTAAGCCTTACTGGGCATTAACTCCATCAAGACGCTATCAAATAGCAAGGGAAGCTAAGAAAGAATTTCTACAATATATTCATAATGAAACAAAAAGAACTTTAGCTGAGAAGAAGTTGAGAGATGATATTAGCAGTACATGTGAAAGTGTTAAAAAAACCCATTTGAATACACATGCCCTAGCAGGTGAAGATGGCAAACGCCAAAACTTTTTTGATTTTTCAACCCCCGCCAACGAAAGTGTTGAAAACGTTCAATCGAAGCACGAGATTAACCAGGGACGCAGTGAAAAAGGGCAGCACAGGTAAGAATTTCTTATATTTTTTTTGTGCCCGTAACATTGTGCCCGAAAATCTTATTTGCTTTTATAAATTTTATTTTTAAAATTAAAATCGTTAGATATTTTAAAAATTTAAAAGATATTTTGCGAGACGGTCGGTCGAGCCATTTCTGCAAGAGTGCAAATATGGCGTCAACGTTTTTGCCAAAAATCCTCATCTAATTTTTGAAAATTTAACTGTGCGTGGCAAATTGCTAGAACTTTCCATACCGCAATTTAAAAAAATTAAAAGTTTTTTTTTGAAGTTTCTGAAAAAATTATATTATTTTTTTGTTAAATTTTAAAATTAATTTAAAATTATGAAAACATTTAATTTCTTTTTACAAAGTGATGACTCTGTAAATATATAGCTATTTTGGTTAAACATTGTAAAACTGTTAAGTTGTACCAATTGGTACTGAATCCATATATTATATATTCTATAGAAATGTAAACAAAATTTGAACTTTTTAATAAAATATCTCTATGAAATATATGATAATTTAATGTGCAAATGTCTAATGATCATATTTGATCGCCAAATGGCATTTTTCACACTTTCTTTTTATCTCCGAAACCGCTATCTAGATCTACTAGATTTACTTTCCCAAAAATTTATTGAGTTCTTTCAGCCCGTCAATACAAGTACAATTTTTTTTTTAACTTCCCGTAGGCTAAGTTATAGTAATCGCGAAAAAATCGAAAATGAAAATTTTTATATATCTTTACGTTTCAAAGGTGTCTGAATATATTTTGGCATACCTTAGAAAAAAATGGATGTATGTGTGTGTGCGTGTGTGTGTGTGTGTGTGTGTGTGTTCGGATACAAATTTTCGTCGACGATTTCGGAGACACGGATAAAGCGATTTGAATAATTGAAAAACATTCGATTCGTATTGATAAGGAAACGTGCTGATTAGTTTTTGGCGAAGGCAGGTCTAGTCGTTCCGAAGATATGGGGCAAAAAGTGCCAAAAACAGTAACTCAGTTTTTAAGAGAACGGAGCGTCCGATTTGAATAATTCAAAAAGCATTTTACTTGTATTAACAAGATGAAGAACTGATCAAATTTTCTTGAAGGCAGGTCTAGCGGTTTCGGAATTCTAGTAAAAAAAGTAAAAAAAATGCCATCTGGCGGTCAAAAATGATCATTATACAAATGCACATCAAATTATCTGATATTTTATAGAGATTTTAATAAGTATAAATTTTGTTTACATTCCTATGGGTTCCTTACCAATGCTTATCCGTTAGACGGCGGCGCGGCGCTTACGCGCTTTGATGTTTTGTCTCTATGCAGTTAAAGCAGTACGATTGTTTTGAAAAAAAGTTCAGAATTTCCAAAATATGCCAAAATACACATTTCTTCAAAAAGTCTTTTTTTTTTCAAAAAAAAGTAAATTTTTGTTAAAAATTTATAGTTTCTCAAAAATCTAATTTTTCAGAGTAATTTTTTTTCAAAAATGTTAATCTTTTAATTAAAAAATTACTTTTGGTACGGGAAGTTCCAGCAATTTGCCTTAAGGCACGATGCCATGCGCCCCAGTAGTTAATTATTCAAATCGGACGCTTCGTTCTCTAAATAACTCTAAATTTTGCTACTTTTGATACTTAAACGACATTAAATTTGATTGAACACAGTTTTCACGGTGGAGCACGATACACGCATGGAGTGGCTGAAGCTGATCCAAACCGAGGAGTGGAAGTTGTTCGAAGTAGAGGAAAGGAAGCTACTTGCAATTGCGATTTTTTTAAAGAAGTACAGTTGCTCAAGGAGCGTATGACGAATTTGGAATGTGAGTAAAATGTGACTTATTGTTTATGATGTTTTCCTAACATCCAGTTCTGTTTGACAGCTTTCCTTATCGGTGAATTGTCAGCTATTTACTGCAATATGGCTGGCATTAAAAAAAAAACTGCACGATATGCAGGGCCGGATTTAGAAATTTGGCGCCGTGGGGCACTGACAAAAATGCCGCCCCATTCCAGGATTTTTACTTAAATAGTTTTTATATAAAAATTCATTTTAAAATAGTGGTGCTTGGCATCGCGCCTTAAGGCAAATTGCTGAAACTTCCCATACCGAAAATTAAAAGTAAAAAAAAAGTTAAAATATTTAAAACTTTGAACAAATTTAACTTTTTTGAAAAATTTGAGTTTTTTCATATTTTTTTCAAAGCGATCGCGCTGCTTTGGCTGCGTAGAGTCAAAATATATAATAGAAGCGCGTAACATAAAAAAAGGTTTTTTAAATTAATTTTTTTTCATTTTTCAACAAATTTTAAAGTTCTTTATAAAATGTAATTTTCAGCAGGGAAAGTTTCGGTAACTTGCCTTAAGGCGCAATGCCATGCGTCACTAGTTTAATTTTTTTAGGTCGCTATAAGCGATTATAAAATAATTGGAAGTGCACAGTAATTTTAAGAGTGCCCGAGATCTGAAGAACATATTTTTCTTCAACTTTCAGCTCGTTTACGAATTTTTTATTAGCAAAATTGCCAAATTTTGCATTGCTATCGTATTATGTTTTGTTAATTATATTTTTTGAATAAAAAATGTTATTAAGAAAATGAGTTAATTATATTGTATAGAATTTTTTTTTCAATATCCAAATTTTGCCGCCCTGGGCAGCAAAAGAAGTGAGTATTCATGTTTATATACAATTTTGAATTTGATTAATTTATAATAATATTATTATTATTATATAGGTGTTCTCAAAGTTATTCACCCAGAATTTACAGACAGTAAAATTGAGATAATGATCAAATTGGTTGCGATATGCTCGGCAGAGGAATGACAGGGCGAGCAAAGCGAAGCCACCAAATATTTATATTTTTTAATAAATTTATTGTTTTATTAAATATATTATTTGTTATTATTATGTATCAATAACTCTAATTCTTGTGTATTCAGTATGTATTAATAATTAACTTCCCGTAGGGCAAGTTATAGTAATCGCAAAAAAATCGAAAATGAAAATTTTTATATATCTTTACGTTTGAGAGGTTTCTGAACATTTTGGCATACCTTAGAAAAAATGTATGTATGTATGTGTGTGTGTGTGTATGTGCGTGTATGTGTGTGTGTGCGAATACAAATTTTCGTCGACGATTTCGGGAACACGGATGAAGCGATTTGAATAATTTAAGAAACATTCGATTCGTATCGATAAGGAGACATGCTGATTAGTTTTTGGTGAAGGCAGGTCTAGCCGTTCCGAAGATATGGGGCAAAAAGTGCCAAAAACGGTAACTCAGTTTTTAAGAGAACGGAGCGTCCGATTTGAATAATTCAAAAAACATTTTACTTGTATTGACAAGATGAAAAATTGATCAAATTTTCATAAAGGCAGGTCTAGCGGTTTCGGAGATCTAACAAAAAAAGTAAAAAAAAATGACATTTGGCGGTCAAAAATGAACATTAGACATGTGCCCATCAAATTATCAGATATTTTATAAAGATTGTAACAATAAGTATAAATTTTGTTTACATTTCTATGGGTTCCGTACCAATGTTTACGCGTTAGGCAACGCGGCGCTTAGGCGCTTCGATATTTCGTCTTTATGCAGTTAAAGCAGTACGATTGCTTTGAAAAAAAGTTCAGAATTTCCAAAATATTTCAAAATAAATGATTTAGGATAGAATGATTTAATATGGTTCGAAATTTTATTAAGAGTTCCAAATCATTGATCAATTTTTATTGATTGATAATTTTTAATTACTCGAATTTTGAATTGCGGTACGGAAAGTTACAGCAATTTGCCTTAAGGCACGATGCCTTAATTGCCTTAAGACAGAATTCCACTTACAGCTAGTTTTTACTGCAATAATACCGTATGTTGACAAAACAATTACTTTTGGGGAAAAAAGTTGTTTTATTTTATTTTTTTGCAAAAAAAAAAAATTTGTATATCGAATATAATTCAAAATTTAATTTTAATTCTGGCTAAAGTTTCAAAGATCACTTATATACTTAAAACGACTAATTTTACATTGTAATTAAATTTATATAATTCTTATAAAAATTAGGCAATGTTACAATATTTATAATAATTTATTTGAAAACATTTAATATTCCTCAAACATGTTTACGAGAAGTTCCAATAATTTGCCTTAAGGCAAAAGGTATGCTAAAATGTTCAGAAACCTTAGTAACGTAAAAATATATAAAATTTTTATTTTAGATTTTTTGCGATTACTATAACTTACCCTAAGAAGTTAATTATTAATAGCACAATAGAATCAATAAAAATCTGTCACATAAATTTCAAATAAAACGGTCTGTATGTGAATTGTTTCGGTAGTGACATCTTTACAACAGTTGGCAAATTAAACATAGTATCGCCATTTTGTGTTAACCTCTAAACAAAAACTAAATTTATTTATTCATTCAAAAAATATTTAAAAAATAATAGTGACAACAAAAAACAGTGCCATTTACATGAAAATTTGGTAATGAGCAATAATAACAGATTAAAAAATATGTAAGTAAAAGCATATCTCCTTACTTCATATTTTATTTGATTAATGCAGCAGATGTGTATTGAATTGAATGGAAATGCATCATAAATATTTATAAGTTGCTAATTGTTCAATTAACACTAATTATTCGCAATTAATCAAACTGTAAAGTCCATTTGGCCTCATATTAACATGATGAGCGTTGACAGATGCGATTGCCATTCCCCACCATCGACTTTAGTCTAAAATAAATATTGTTCTTTCGAGACATTACACATTTCGGAGTTATTAATAGACGACTTGTTCTTAATTTATACATTTTTTTTAAATAAACTTAATTTTCAATTAACTTCTGTAAAAATTAAATTGGTTAAAATGGAGTGAGTATTGTCATTTTTGTACGAAATATTTTTTTCTAGTGTAGTGCAATAAATTGTTGTATTTTTTATGTTAACGAATTACATAATTCTGATATAAATTTATAATCACAAGTGTGTTGAGTATTACTTAAATATTCTATTAATAGTTCCACAATATGATTTGTTACAGTTGGTTGCATCTAGATAATAAAATATGATAATTTAAAACCCATTGAAGCTGACATGTAGTTTCTTTACTGTCAGCTTTTAAAATATAGTTGAGAAGAAAGATATATCAATGTTGTTATATATATATATTTGTTTTCAGTTTTTGTTTAATTAGATTTTTTAAGAATGTTCATATTTTTCTTGCAATTGGAATTAACAAATTGTTGAGAATTATTTGGTAATAATTTACACTTTTAGTGCTGAATATACTTTCATCCCGTAAATCATATCTACATAAAACTGTGTTACGGTCAAAAAATAATTTTCAATATTTATATACTCATTTATGTATTTATCCATTAACATATTGCCTCCAACATATATGAAATCATTTAACTAAAAGCATCAAATATATTATTACTTGTTTATGTATATATTAATAATGATAATAATAATATACCACCCACTCATGATCATTATAAATATAAGAACAATTTAAAATAGTAATCTCAGCACAAATTCTCTTTAAAAATAAATATAATAATAATGATATAATAGAATATCTATTAATATATTTCCTCCAACATATATGAAATCATTTAACTAAAAGCATTAAATATATTATTACTTCTTTATGTATATATTAATAATGATAATAATAATGTACCACCCACTCATGATCATTATAAATATAAGAACAATTTAAAATAGTAATCGCAGCACAAATTCTCTTTAAAACAAATATAATAATAATGAACATAAGTATGTGATAAACAAATGAAAACATTTTGAGACTGTAGATTAAATTGTTGTAGCATTTCAATTCCATGGTTGCAATAAAATATTTTATCTTTAAACCAAGAGCTTCATAGAAATATGCATTTACTCTTTATTTTCAATAAAATAACACATTTTATTTAGACAGATTTGTATTAATAGTAATACTAATTAAAGAAACGATGGTGTTCCATAATTTTAGTAAAATAGAAAATTATTTTTTTCATTATTATAGGCTATAGAAAGCATTTTATTGAACAAACTCTTCAGGATTTTAATATATTATAGGAAATTATAATTCTTATTATTTTAACTATAATTTTACATCATTTTATATTGGACATCATTATATAAACGATAATTTTAGACTAAACATACACATTCTACCTGAATAGTTTTATAAATTATGGGATGAAATAGTTTCATGTGAATGCATTTCATCAAAATTGCAGTATCATGCTACTGTACTTAGATATCTTGATTGTGAATGATTACAATGTCTTACAATTATTTCTTTTTTAGTGTGATCCAAAAGAATTATGTCTTCAAACTCATCCCAAACGGATCAAATTCGTGAGGCTTACGATACACTATATGAAATATCACGACTTCTGAACACTGGTTTGACTCCAGAAACATTGCAGATTTGCATTCGTCTTTGCGAAGCTGGTGTTAATCCTGAAGCTCTTGCACATGTATTGCGTGAAATAAGAATACAATCTGAGACACACCAAAAATCTGATGCTAATAACTAATTTTGGCAAGTTGGATATGAAAATTAATTAATCATGTTTGTGTCAGTGTTCAAATCATTCTTCATTTAATATATTTTGTTGTCATGTGTTTGTGTTAATTTTCATTTATGTTGTTGTTATAACAATGCTTTACAGATTCTTCGTAATGATTAGATATGTTTGGTTTTATTCACAATATTTTGTTGAAACAATACCTATTTTATTCAAAAATTGCATACATATTTGATATTAAACTTTTGTTAAAATATTAATGATTCTTATGAAAAACAATAAGGTCATATTATGAATAATACCAATTGTATTTAATTTTTTTTTTAAATAACTTGTGTCGTCTTTTCTTTATTTGTTTGTTTTAATTAATTTTTAGATATCATTATTTTATTGGGGTTAAAAGCAGCATTTGTTCTAAATTTGAAAATTGTTTAAAAGAAAAAATATAATTAATTCATTATAATATGAATTCAATCCATAAGTCATGGTCTTCTGCACTTCTGCAGAAATAATTGTACGTTTTCAAAAAATTAAATTATTAATCTTTATGTTGCTAATCCTAAAAAAAAATTTCTGTGTTCATAATTGGTAATATCCATCTCGATTCTACTATATGTATTGTATTTAAATTTGTTTTAATCAGCACATCAAATATGAACTATAAATATGTGGGATCTTTTAATTTTTCTACAAGCATAAAAGTGATCATAGTGTTCAATCAAGCATTAAAAACACATGTTGGTTTCTTGTGTTCATTAGTGCATGATTTATATGTTTTTTAGTGACTATTTAACAAATGGCTAGTAAATTTTATAATATTAAATTTTATCATGCTTGTTTATTCTTATTAACAGTTTTTTCATATTTTAAAAAGTTACGTAAACAATTTTCATAAACAAAGTTATAATTTTTTTTATCAATATGATTGCATTTTTTCTATAAATTAATATATATTAAATGTTCTAGTTCGCCTCTAATTATATCTTCAAACCTAGTTCGTGATAACTTTGCAATTTTTTGTTTTTGAATATTTGCGCTGTTTCTCATCGGTTGGCACGACTGTTCGCCGTCATTATTGGTTTTGTGCGAATGATAACATGGCCGCCGTGTAACTTGTGTTAAAAAATAGTGAAGAATTTAGGTGTTTTACGGAGTCTTTAAAAACAAGATAATTGGCGCAATGATTAGTTTACGAATGTATTAATATGCGTGCGTGTCAGTAAAATTCGCGTCGGATAGTTTTCGGTGTTTGTGACAGATTCGATAATTATTTATTTTACATAAGCTCTCATCTTTGTGTCATCGGCCGAGTTTTTTGTGTAAACTAACAGTAGTTCGATAAAATTAAGTCAGTATTGAAATGCTCTAGACATTCGCAATGTCTGTTTTTATAGGAGAGATGGCTTGCTGATCGACAGTGACAGCTTTGGACATTACGCCAAGGGCCGTGACATCAGACTTCAAAAGGTAGTCGGTTATAATATATAGTATAAATTAATTGCCTTTGCGATTCGTTCGGAGCCCTGGAAGCATTAAAAGGCACGATCATGGGCAATAATGCCACTTCGGCCAACAAAAAGGTGGACGCTGCCGAAAGCGTCAAAGAGTTTCTCGATCAAGCCAAAGAAGAATTTGAAGACAAATGGAAGAAAAATCCAACGAACACGGCGGCTTTGGACGATTTCGAACGAATTAAAACATTGGGTACTGGATCCTTTGGCAGGGTCATGATTGTCCAGCACAAACCGACCAAGGAATATTATGCAATGAAAATTTTAGATAAACAAAAGGTTGTCAAACTGAAGCAAGTCGAGCATACCTTGAACGAAAAACGCATTCTACAAGCCATTAGCTTTCCTTTTCTGGTCAGCTTGAAATTCCACTTCAAAGACAATTCAAATCTCTACATGGTATTAGAATATGTTCCCGGTGGAGAAATGTTTTCCCACTTGCGAAAAGTTGGTAGGTTTAGCGAACCACATTCACGATTCTATGCTGCTCAAATAGTATTAGCGTTTGAATACTTACATTATCTAGATTTGATCTACCGAGATCTTAAGCCCGAGAACTTGTTGATCGATTCTCAGGGCTATTTGAAAGTCACTGATTTTGGTTTTGCAAAACGAGTTAAGGGTCGCACTTGGACATTGTGTGGAACCCTGAATATTTAGCCCCAGAAATAATTTTGAGCAAGGGGTATAATAAAGCGGTTGATTGGTGGGCATTAGGAGTCTTAGTTTACGAAATGGCGGCTGGTTATCCGCCGTTCTTTGCCGACCAACCGATCCAAATCTACGAGAAGATTGTTTCTGGCAAAGTTCGTTTTCCTTCTCATTTTGGCTCAGATCTCAAGGATCTGTTACGAAATTTGCTGCAAGTAGATCTGACAAAACGCTATGGCAACTTGAAAGCGGGCGTAAACGATATCAAGGGGCATAAATGGTTTGCTTCAACTGATTGGATTGCAGTATTCCAGAAGAAAATAGAAGCACCTTTATTCCTCGATGCAAGGGTGCAGGCGACACTAGCAATTTCGACGATTACGAAGAGGAGGCGCTGCGTATCTCCAGCACCGAGAAGTGCGCCAAAGAATTTGCCGAATTCTGAATGCTTCATGTTTTTGTCTTTCATTTTGGAAATGAGTTAATTGCAGTTTTTATGTTGGTCATATTTCTTGTGAAAAGTTGAAAGTATTTAAAATAAAAAGCGAAAAAGACTCTCCTCTGAGCCCCCTTTACCAAAACAAAGAGAACATTTATTGTGAAAATACACACATGCTAATGTTTTTTCATAAATAGGAGTCGAAACCCCCTCTCTCGTTACATAAATATAATTGTGTGTTAATCGCTTATTTACAAGAGAATCATGATCATTAGTAATATGTATGCACATGTATATATGTGTATATGATGCGCATATGTGTGTAGGCATACTGTATAGTAAGAAATATTTAAACAAGATATAGGTATTAAATTACTAAAACAGTTTTAAAGTAAACATTCACATTTACATGGACACGCAGACACAGATATACAATTCATTCAAATTTATATGATAAATTTGAGTGGCATTTACAGGTAGCTCATATTCAGCATTGTTGAATTCTTCAGTTATAAATTATGCAAAATAATATCGATATATGAATCAAGTTTAATAACTATTAATTAATCTTATTTTTTAATGTTGTTTTAAATATTCAGAAAGATATCAATGCGGTGCATTTAATGTGTACTACCTGTATATGAGTTTTTCTTATTAATATAAATACATTACATCCACCTATACATATAGATATATAAATGTGTATACCATTTTATTTGTTGTGTAGTCGTTTTATCATGGAAATCAAAAATTGCTTTTTCATAGTAGTGCTAGTTATATAAAAAAACAAAAAATTGGTATGAAAATTTCTCTAGATGGAAAATAGTAAAGCTGTGTTCTATCCCTTAATAGCTTTGCATCAACTTTCTGCATAGTGAATAGGGCTCCCAATATCATTTTGATATGTATACTGTGATATATTTCCGGCATATATTCAAAACTTTATGATCACTTTATTTATGTTAACAAACGAAAATTTTAAGTAAATTTGTATCCTTTAATGCATGCCTGTATTTCTGAACATCGGATAATGCATCAATATTTTATATTCTCGAAAACTCTGCATCGAGTTGATGCAAAAAAAACTATCATCACGGCTTTATGTTGTAATCCAGCAAGATATAATTGGTTATATATATATATATATATATATATATATATATATATATATAAATCAAAGATAAACACAAAAATCTCTTACTTGGATCTTTAGGTTTTTAGTATATATTAACGGTCTCATAGAATTGGGGCTAGTTGTTATTATTATTATTAATTGTTATTTTTCATTAAATTGATTTATTGATTAAGTTTTGATTGAGTATTGATTGTCAGCACTTTTTTTATGAAGGGACTTATGCAATATTTTGTTACATTTAGCGATGATTGTCACCGCTAGGAAACACCAAAAATATAATTTTTGAGTTTTGAGAAAATGTGTTTCTTACATGCTGCAAAGAAAAAATTTTGTAACGTGAGTGCATTTATTTTGAATATAAAATTGGTGTGTGATCAACCGCTATAAAAAAAAATTGGAAGAGAGAATTTATAATATTTGGATACTAACACTATTTTTTGTGAAACCTGATGTTCTTTAAATTTTATATATGACATTTTATTTATTGATGTCGTTCACTGTGCAATCTAGTCTTTAAAAAATGTTTTTACCATTGAATGAAAAAGCTGTATTCATTACATAATGATTTTTTTTTTCTTAACATTTATAATTTGCAAATAAGCCATGTTGTTACAAGCAAGTCATGTATGCGTATACAGATTTTTTTATCTTTCATACATTAAAAAAAAATTATATAATATTGCAAAATGTTCCATTTGTTTAATGATTGTGGAAGTATTTTTTATTGTTAGTTGTTGTATTTGAAATTTTAATTATTCAAATGATTGTATTATACCAAAATTTGTAAGCGTAAAAAATTATGTATACATGTACAATTATTTATTGAGATAAAAGTAAGGATGCTGTAGTTATTTATTGAATTTATTTATTATCGCATTGATATGGACTTGTGCAAACAGGTGACTGGATGATCATGCGTTGATCAATTTTTTTTTGTTACTTTTTGAGTAGCACCTAACAATATCAAGTAATGTTTACTTGTTGGCTAAATTCTATATTTCTTTCATTATTTATGAGGGTTTTGGGTAAAATGATACTTACGAGCAATATATTCTTTTGAATTAAAAAGAAAGTTGAAAAGATCCATTTAAGTTACTTTACAATGATTGCTGATACCATTTTACCTTGGAAATAAGTTCAACTATTTCAATCTAAAGCTACCTTTGAAATAGGTAGTTTTATTTTATTAAGTACCAAATAGCTGAGTTTTTTTTTATTATCATATTCTATTTCATTCTCTTAAGATTTGATTATGCTTTCAAATAGTATTCACAGGAATAGGAAATAGATGATCAGTTGGTGTTTGCCACTTTGATATTTTTGTTTCTCATTTATATTTTAACATTATTTTTATTCTTATATATGTAATATGCATATATTACATATGTGTGTATGCATGTGTGTTATCTAACTCAGCTCATGGACCTGCCTTTCTGCACACAACTGAATTTGTATATTTATACATCAATCTTTTGCAATTTAATTGAATATTGTTAAATATTTAAAATACACCATGATTTAGTACATATTCAGGGCAATAATTTTGATTGTATAGTAAAGATCTGTACAATTTCAATGGCAATATCTTGACTATTAGAAGAACTACATCAAAGTTCAAAGCATATATCAAATAAATGTTTTAAATAAATCTCTTTTATCTAAAGGTTTTAAAGAATTAAATAAATGTTTTTACAAATTTAATATTTCAAACGAAACAAGTCGTTACAATGGATTTGTATCCAATATAGGAAAGTTCACACACACACACACACACACACACATATATATATTATTATAAAAGTTTCTATTTAAAATATGTTTACTAAATTCTTCTGGACGACAGTACATGAAATACAAAAGAAAAGAGTTTACAATTTAATTATTTATTCTACAAAAAAATAAAGGTCTTGCAAAATATATTTCCATTTTCATTTGGTGTCCTGTCCTGTAGATTTTAGGAATGTTACCCTGACAATTATTTTTTATTCTTACCATTTTATTTTACTTTTTGGCTTCCGATGATTGTTTGTGATCAATTTTATTTGGAGTTGAGGCTGAATACCTAAAATATTGCTCGAATTTATCATTTCCTCGTAAATCAATTCAGACATATCAAATAAAATACTAAAAGCTTAATCATTCACAATAATCGCTCGTGTGCGCTTGGTCCTAAAACATTTCTAACAAGTCAGGTTTCGACCTATGCCAAAATAATTAAACCAATGAAAAATATAGCATGGGTAGTCAATTCTTATCTATCACCGATTTGTAAATCATTAATAGTAAAAATTGATAAATTTTTATTAAATTGTTATGAAGAGAGTTTTATGTACATTGAGATTTGTAAAGGAAACAGTCTTTTGTCTATTTTTGGATACATTAAGAAAATCTGGATCTTTTACAAATAGGTTATAGAGAAGGAATTGATTGCTACTGAATTCAATCATGATTTGAATAATGAATAAAGTCTAGAACAATTTTTGAACAAACGCGTTTAATTCAAAATACGAATTATTTGAAATTCGTTTGGTATGATGTGTTGCTGATGTGCTGCTCCATATCAAATATATGTGATGGTGGTCACATACATAGATGAAATCTAAAAATATATAAATTTCTATTGTTAGTGATATTTTTGCTACAACGGAACGCTTTATAGACTTTATTAGAAAAATGATTTAAATCTTTTATAGAAACGAGCAAATATTTTTAGAAACCGTTGCCAAAGAACGATTTTTTCACGGAGTACTGAAAATTGGAATACTGCTGTTATTTTCCTTTTATTCATACTCCGTGGATGCATTAAGTTGGGAGCAGTCTTTTGATACAAGATTTGTTTCATATAAATTGTTCTAAATTTAATATTTTAACATATGTCATATCGCACATCCAAATCTAACGAAAAGTAACTCCAAATTATAAAAATCTAACAACAAATTCTTAAAAATAGCATTACTACTTAATATTAGTTAATGTACAACCTATCGTTGACCGAAAACATATTTCCTGAAAAGTGTTTGTTGTTGAATCTGTTTAGACTTAGGTGTGCGCTCTGTATTATAATTTATAGTCAGTCTTTTATCAAAAAACTAGCTCAGTGTTTGGGAAGCAATAACGTAACTGTATAAAATGCATAAAGCAGATACTAAAATTATATTTTATAAATATATTTCCGTCATTTTGCTCTTTGTATTTATACAATTGCGTTTATATCTAAGATTGAATTTGTAAAGCACTTTCACACGATACAATAAAGTCTGATAAACTGCGATTTAAAATAGATAATACTGTATATGTGCAATATTTATTAAGAAATATGCAAATCCAATTTTTTATGGACAAGTAAATCATGTATCACTTAAATATATCTTTAAAGCGTTTCATGATATCTGATATTCAAATATGACTTCTAAAAGGTTTGCTGTTGCTTTAGAACAATATTTTTCGTTATTTTTCGAATTTATTGTTTTTGACTAATTTGATCCATAAATATTATTTTATAAAATAATTCACCGGATTATTTTTTGATACTTAAATGAATTCATACACGTGAGAAAATGTTTGATTTTAGAAATATATTTTTTTCCAATGTCATTTTCAAATGCATGAACTTAACGTTAACTAACACATCATTTACATTAAGAGAATATATTTAATAATTCTAGTTTTATGCTTTTGGAGTTTTGAAAATATGTTGTATTTGCAAACTAATATATTTACTGTGTTATATTTTAATCTACTGTACATTTAGAATCGTACATAAAAAGGCACAATTTGTAATGAATGATATTTAAATCGATCGATTTTTTTAAAGTACTTCATCTTTGAAACATAATCCTCTTATAAAAAAAATCGCATTTATAGTAATCGTGTGCATTATTTGTAAGGTGACCATACGTCCCGGTTTAGACGGGACAGTCCCAGATTTCACCTTGTGTCCCGGGTTTTTCTGAAAGCAATATTTGTCCCGGATTTAGATTTTTTGTCCCGGATTGTCCTGGCTATTTGAAAACTAATAGATAAAGTAACAAAAATTCAAATTAATTATGAAGAAAATTGAATAGATTTTTATGCAAAGCTCAAAAGCGAGAAAAACATAGATAAAGGAGCATTGCATATAAATGAATAATAAAGTTCTTACTAAAAGTCCGCAATTTTCATTAAAAAAAAATCATATAAAAAACTGATGAATTTGGTGTGTCCTTAAGTCCTTAAGAACTGATTCCCGGATCAGCTTAAAAAAATATGGTCACCTTAATTATTTGCCATCTTCAATACAATATTTCGAATGTACATATTGCGTCATAGGATTCGAATCAAATTTTGAATGATTCATATAACTTAAATCGTACATCTGATCTCAAAAGATTCAAGTCAAACTTTGAATGAGTCGTATACTTAAATCGCACATATTTTAGCATATGATTCGAATCAAATTTCGAGTGATTCATACAACTTAAATCGTACATCCCGCATCATATGATTCGAATCAAATTTGAAGTGATTCGTATGAAAGCGTAATCTGATTCGACTCAAACCTCGAGTTTTTCTTGGATGTGATTCGAATCGTACATCATACGTCATGTGATTCGAATCAGAACTCGAGTGATTTGTATTGTTTGTAATATAATAAAGTTTTTCTGTTATGGTTCGATTCGAATAATTTGTAACATTTGATTTGATCATTAATGATAATGATTGATTTTGCTTATTTCTTATAAAAAAAACTGTATTTGAAGAGAACTTTGTCCAATCTGTTCCCTATTTCATAAATAAATCATTTTGTACTTTCGTATCGTGTGAAAGATGCTTTACAACTGCATATTATAATTTAAACCGAATTAGCCAATTATTGTTATAATTTTCATTACGATCATTAGGAAATTAAATTTTTAAGACAAATGTTTAGAAATTTGTGTTTTATAGCGAATTTGCATGCGTGATATATTTAAACAAAAATAGTTTGATGTTTAATAA